TGAACCCCTCGACCATTCTTTAGGTCTATTTCCCTTCCTATATGGTATACTCTATTTTGCTTACTTTGGTGAGTGCTTAATCAGCACAACAGTAGAAGAGGGATGCCATAGCATCCGAATTTTGCAAATGAAGAAACTGATTGGTAGAAAAACAACGATGATACCAATGATCATGTAGCTAATAACTGGTTGATCCAACCCTAGACCTTCAACTCCAAACCCAAGACCCCTTCTTTTTGCCAAAGCTTTCCTAACACTCATTATCTCCCATGATCATTGTCACAGAATTTATCACGTAATTATTTCTTAGCTGTTTAACACGTGCTGGTCTTACATCTGCAGGTAATGTTTAAGCCCCATGAAGGCAGCAACACTGTTTTCATCTCACCTACTGAATCCATCTGAAGCTGGGACAATATTCACTCATTAATTTTTTCTAACAAATAGATCCTTGATACTAATAAAGTTAAACATATAACAGTTCAAGAAAAAAACAAATACTTAGGTATCAGGAAAGGAAAGTAGAAGTAGCTTTTAAAACTTTTTTTTAACTTTTCTCTACCTTGGGTATGGGTCACTGGTTCGAATTAATTCACATGTAGGAATCAGCCTTCCCTGTGCCTGTTCTCACTGCATATGGACACTCTACGTGCTTGGCTGTCGTGGCCATGAGTAGAATATTGAGGAGGAGGAAGGAAGTTTGCCAATAGGCCTCTCACATTCTTCCTAGTAATTAATTTTAAGAGATGCCTGATTCACAGTGGGTTGCTCGCCTAGTGACGCTTGATTAACAGAGAATCCCAAAACAATGCGTACAGACGCTGACAAATAAAAGCAAACGTACCAAGAGGCTTGCTCTACCTATCAAAAACAGAAAAGACCTTGAAGGTGGTTTATGATTTCATAAATCTTCGGCTGTAGTCTCCCTTATGTTGGTACTAGACTTCTTTGCTTGAAAAATCTGCTTTGAGGTACAAGGGAAGTAATTACGGAATCTTTCCAGGGACTCAAAATCCCCAAACAACACGTCTTAGGGTTTTTTAAAAATTACTTTTTGAAGGGGATTTGGAAACTATACATACTATGAGCAACATAAAAGTATTTAACCTTTAATTTACTATTTGGGAGCTGCGTATTCCTTCTTGGAAACCTGAAAAAGAAGGCAGGGCCACGTTTTCTTTCTGAAAAGCCCTGTAATATAATTTCTACCTGAATTTATATTTCAGGTGGGAATTTACGCTATTCCAATTTCCTCCTATTAACATCATCAGCACCTGAGTATATTCAGCCAAAAAAACTATATTCTCTAAAATAGTCTTTTACTCAAGACCGGTAAAAAAATCAATATACGGTTCCCATCAGTACGGTAAATTACATACAGTAACCACAGTACAAATTTCCATTAACCCTTCTCTTTCTCCATGCAGGGAAGGGACCTTCAATTCACTTCTAATCATTCTAAAAGTAACCAAGCAAGTGACCAGGCTTGGCAGTGTGCTGTGCTCTCAGGTAGAAGTGAGAGGAGACATATTGGTCTTGGAAGGTTTTGCCTGCATTCTCTCCAGGAAATGAGGCAATGGACTGGCTGACCTTGGAGTCCTTGCTGGCTCTGGTATTGGGTGATTTGCAGTCACCTTTAGGAAGTCAGGCATTGAGCTGAGGGTTACTTAAGAAGATGGATTTGCAATGCATCTCTAGGTTATAAAAAATGGAGGGCTAGTTCAGACTAGTCCTTAACTTGTCTCCATTGGCTGTTAATTTAGAATAGGCTGTCAAGAATGGAATGGCAGAACTTGGAATTCATTCCTGAAGTCAGTTGAAACCCTGAAGGCAAGGATGCCTGTTGAAAGTAGGAGGGACGTGGGGGAGGGAAGGTGAAAAGTCAGATGCTGGAAGTGGCAACTTGTGAGCCAAATATGACCCATACACATTATTTGGTTGGCTCTCATCATTTGGAAAAATTTGACCGAATTTAAATTAGGACTTTTCCCTTATAAAATATCTGGATTTTTAGCTGTTCTTAACCAAAAAATAGAAGAAATAGCGACACCAGACCTGTATTTTGCCATAGCAAAAATGGGATGGAATTCCCCATTTTAGGAATACAGCAAACTGTCCAATCCACCATGGTCCACCTAATCCCATCTGTCCCTTACAGTGGCCCTCTTCACACGGTATGTTACCCTCCTGACAACCAGAGCATTGGAATTTATGACATCAGTGTAATCAGATAAGGAGGTTCCCCAGGTGCATCAAGTATTCAGAAGTATACAGATGGATTTAAGGTGTATTCCAAATAATTTATAAAGGATAATAATCAAAATACCAAAATTTGCTAATGATGAACTTTTTGAGAGCAAATTACTGTAAACTGATACCATTCTCATTCACTGACACCATGGTGGGCTTTCTTGAGATGGTGATAATGGGGTAGAAGCATAGCTACTCAACTGAGAATTACATGTACAATTGGGTCTATAAGTCAGGATTTTCTTGGGTACAAGTGGAAGAAATGAGCCAGCTAGCTTAGTCCCCTCAGCTCCTACCCACCATCACCCCCACCACCCCCTGCCCTGTGGAAAATTATTGACTTATATAACTAAGAAACCAGGGGTT